GACAGCGCAAGGTTACCTGTCTCCGGCTCAGCTCCACCCGAATGAGGCGCCGACACCCCACTCCGGGGCTCTAAACTCTCGGCCCCGCCCTGGCGTATGGCGTCAACACGTAGCCCTCCCCTGGAGAAGAAGGCCCTCCCCTCTTACAGTGAACCGATTCGTGGCGTCACAGAGCCGCGCCGCACGTCACAGCGCCGACTACGCAGTTGCGGAAGCTTGGGCCGGCGGGAGCGCAGCTGTTTGCTCCGCTAGAGCGATGAGATTGAGTGTATGGACTTCCAGCGGCTTCTACGATCATAAGTAATTTCTAAAACATATCTCTAGTGCCTGGTAGGAACCTATCAAGAGACAGTTGGGTTGATGTGAAACTTAGCGCACAAAAATAAACAATTTAAATAACAGAATCTCCGTTTTTGAGATTGTCCTGGGTCAGGCTTTGTGACAAGTGCTTCACCGGCGCTATTGTGTAACAGCCTGTGAGATAGGTATTCCTGTCCCCGGTCTACAAATGACAATAGACAGTGCTGGAATCTTGCCCGGGATCTTGCCCGAGTTGTCTTGACTTTAGAGCTACCTATCAAAGATAAAACGCGGCTAATTAACCTGTCACAACCTGTTGATTGTAAGATGTTCCCTATTTTAAAGTATTAAAATTTGGGGAAAGGCCGGGCGCGGTGGCTCAAGCCTGTAATCCCAGCACTTTGGGAGACCGAAGCGGGCGGATCACTTGAGGTCAGGAGTTCGAGACCAGCCTGGCCAACAGGGCAAAACCCAGTCTCTACCAAAAATTTTAAAAGGCCGGGCGTGGTGGCGGGCGCCTGTAATCCTAGCAACTCGGGAGGCTGAGGCAGGAGAATAGCTTGAACCCGGGAGGGAGAAGTTACAGTGAGCCGAGATCGCGTCACTGCATTCCAGCCTGGGCGACAGAGTGAGAATCAGTCTCAAAATAATAATAATAATAATAATAATAAAAGTAATAAAATTGGGGGAAAAGTATCTCAGAATTGATTAAATAATATCGCAAATTATATTCACTCACATATTGAGAAAGTCCCTTGCACTTGTTCAGTCTTACGGCCAGGAGAAAACCTCATTTCATATTCATGTCTTTAACCTCACTTTTTCTTCTTTCCCTTTTAGACAGAGATCAGACTTTAGGCTCAAAGCTTTCAGTGGGCAATATTATTATATAAAGCTAGACCTTAAACTGCTTTGTATTCATTATTTTGGACAGTTTATCTTTGTTATTTGTGGCAGGTAATACTGGTTTTCTTATTTACATTAAAAATTTTTTCCAATAAATGGTTCTATTTAAAGAAGATGTTAACCATTGTAGATACTAGTATAGGAAGGCAGTATCCAAATAACTGACATTCGGGAAACGCTGTTGCAGACTGTCTTGAATGTTCTCCTGAATATATTTTCCCAAGAAGATAACTACTTAAAGACAAGGATTTTGTCATGTGGCACACAGCAGCAGATATTGGGGTGACGAGGAACAGCGATCCATCAAGCACGATAGTCCGATAGAGAACACAGATATCTCAGTTGGGCCAGTATTCAGACCAAAGCTATGCCACCCACAGGTGGGTATGATATAGACTTAAAGCGACTTATAAAAGGGAAAAGTCAAAGAGGTGTTTTTTTGTGTTTTAAATGGGGAGTATAGGCCGGGTGTGGTGGCTCATACCTGTAATCCCAGCACTTTGGGAGGCGGAGACGGGCGGATCACCTAAGGTTGGGAGTTCGAGACCAGCCTGACCAACATGGTGAAACCCCATCTCTACTAAAAATACAAAAATTAGCTGGGCGTGGTGGCGCAGTAGCTGGTAATCCCAGCTACTCAGGAGGCTGAGGCAGGAGAGTCGCTAGAACCCGGGAGGTGGAGATTGCAGTGAGCCGAGATCATGCCATTGTACTCCAACCTGGGCAACAAGAGCGAGAAACTCCGTCTCAAAAAACAAACACACACACCCAAAAAGGGGGCGTATAAGTGCTTATGATAGAACAAACTTAGGCTAATGTATGTGACAAGGATCTAGAGACTGGAAGAAGGTAAGAGACCAGGGTATAAACTTCAGTATTCTTTTTTCCTTTTTTTTTTTTTTGTAATACGGTAAAAATGTATGTACTAAAAATTTGCAGCTGGGTGCAATGGCTCACACTTGTAATCCCAGCACTTTGGGAGGTGGAGGCGGGATGATCACTTGAGCTCAGGAGTTCCAGATCAGCCTGGAGAGCACAGCAAGATCTCATTTCTACTAAAAATCAAGAAAATTAGCCAGGTGTAGTGGCACTCACCTGTAGTCTCAGCTAATTGTAGGAGGCTGAGGCAGGAGGAGGATCTCTTCAGCCTGAGAGATTGAGGCTGCAGTGAGCTATGATTGTACCACTGCACTCCAGCCTGGACCAGAGAGCAAGATACTGTATTTTTTTTTTTAATGCCATTTTAACCATTTTTAGGTGTATAATTCAGTGGCATTAATTACATTCACAATATTGTGCAACCATCATCACTCTATTTCCAAAACTTTTTCATCACCTGAAACAGAAACTCTGTAACCATTAAGCAATAACTTCCTATTTCCCCCTCTCCTCCTGTCCTTCTCTGCTTTGGTAACCTCTATTATATGGTCTCTATACATTTGGTTACTCAATTACCTTATGTCAGTGGAATCATACCGTATATGTCTTTTTGTGTCCACCTTGTTTCATTGAGCATGGGGTTGTCAAGGTTTATCCATGTTGTAGCATTGGCCCAGAACTTCATTTCTTTTTATTTTATTTTATTTTTGAGACACGATCTCCCTCAGTTTCAGGCTGGAGGACAGTGGCACCATCTCAGCTCACTGCAGCCTGCGCCACCCAGGTTCAAGTAATTCTGATGCCTCGGCCTCCCAAGTAGCTGGGACTACAGGCACGCCCCACCATGCCTGGCTATTTTATTTTATATTTACTTATTTATTTATTTAGAGATGGTGTTTTGTTCTTGTTGCCCAGGCTGGAGTGCAGTGTGCCATCTCAGCTCACTGCAACCTCTGCCTCCTAGATTCAAGCAATTCTCCTGCCTCAGTCTCCCAAGTAACTGGGATTATAGGCGCCTGCCACCACACCCAGTTAATTTTTTGTATTTTTAGTAGCAATTGGGTTTCACTGTGTTGGCCAGGCTGGTCTTGAACTCCTGACCTCAAGTGATCCACCCACCTCGACTTCCCAAAGTGCTGGGATTACAGGCGTGAGCCACCACACCTGGCCAGAACTTCATTTCTTTTTATGGTTGAATAATATTCCATTGTATGTATATACCACATTTTGTTTATTCATTCATCTGTTTATGAACACTTGGGTTATTTCTGCTTTGTTGCTATTTTGAATAATGTTGCAATGAACATTGACTTATAAATGTTTGAGCCAATTGTGTTACCAAGCAATGGGCTCACTGCTAGACACACATAGAAGCCAATACTATGTCATCAGCTTTTGAGAAAAGGCTTTATTGTAAGGTCGACCAGCAGGGAAACCAGAGGCAACACTCAAATTTGTCTCCCCGAGATGGAATCTGGGGGCAGGTTTTATAGGCAAAGAGCAACTATGAGGGAGATGGGAAAATACAACAAGGCATGATCTGTTTGGGTCATGCAAAGAGGCAATGCTGGATCTTTGAGTTCATATTGCAGCAAAACAGGACGCCCCATGCTTCCTAATTTGGTGTCCATTTCTCCATTTAAGTGCTTAAGTCATGCCTATGGTTGACTTTTGTGTTCCCACCGACACCAGGGTCAGTTATTAGGCACGCTTGGTTCATCTGGGCATGCTCAGGTTACATGACTTGCAGCCTGGGGATCTATTATAACTGAAAAACAACTCATCATTTTGTTACTGATAAAAGTTGAACCAGGCTGGGCGCGGTGGCTCACACTTGTAATCCCAGCACTTGGGGAGACTGAGGTGGGTGGATCACCTGAGGTCAGGAGTTCAAGATGAGCCTGGCCAACAGGGTGAAACCCCATCTCTACTAAAAACACAAAAAAATTAGCCACGCATGGGTGGGTGCCTGTAATCCCAGCTTGGGAGACTGAGGCAGGAAAATCGCTTGAACTCAGGAGCCGGAGGTTGCAGTGAGCCAAAACCCCGCCTTTGCAGTCCAACCTGGGCTAGAAGAACAAAACTCCATCTCAAAAAAAAAAAAAAAAGCTGAACCAGATTGAACTGGTCCTGTGGTTACACCTGTTTATAATTCTTTTGCCTGTATACCTGGGAGTGTAATTGCTGGGTTATATGGGAATTCCGTCTAGCTTTTTCAGGAAGTGATAAATTCCCACAGTGACCACACCTTTTTTGTTTGTTTGTTTGTTTTTGAGACAAGGTGTCAGTTTGTAGTGCAGTGGTGCAATCACAGCTCACTGCAGCCTCAACCTCCGGGGCTTAAAGCAATCCTCTCAGCTCACGCTCCTGAGTAGCTGGGACAACCGGTATGCACCACCATGCTAGGCTAATTTTTTCTATTTTTTATAGAGACAGGGTCTTGCTGTGTTGCCCAAGCTGGTCTCGAAGTCCTGGCCTCGAGCGATCCTGCTGCCTCAGCCTCCCATAGTGTTGAGATTACAGGTGTGTCTCTATTTTTTTTTACTGTCTCTATTTTTTAAAAAATTATTATCGGTCAGTCATGGTGCCTCACTCCTGTAATCCCAGCACTTTAAGAGGCCAAATTAGGAGGATTATCAGCTTCAGCAACACAATGAGACTTTGTCTCTACAGAAAAAAAAAAAAAAAATTAGGAGTGGTGACACATGCCTGTGGTCCTGCCTATTTGGAATGCTAGGACAGTAGGATTGCTTGAGCCCAGGAGCTTGAGGTTGCAGTGAGCTGTGGTCATGCCACAGAACTCTAGCCTGGGCACAGAGCAAGACCCTGTTCTCCCACTTCCCCACTCCCCAAAGAAAACATTTGGTGAGGTGTAATGGCTCATGCCTGTAATCCCACTACTTTGGGAGGCTAAGTCAGGAGGATTGCTTGAGGCCAGGAGTTTAAGATCAGCTGGGCAACATAGCAAGACCCCATCTCTAAAAAAAAATTTATTACAGCCAACTATAATAAATAGGTATGAGTTGGTATCTCATTGTGTTTTAGAAATTATTATTTTTTAGAGGTAGAGTCCCACTCTGCCAC